GTAGTATTCATTCAAACAGAGGTGGGGATTATTTTACAATAGTCATTTTTTAAATCAGCCAGTCGATCAACAAATCAAATTTTATTATGGTCACCACCCAACAAAAGTTATACAACAAAGTATGAGACACTGATGTCATAATTAAGAGACTGAATAATTCTGAACTGATTAAATTCAAAGCAAAAGATATTTAGGTATAGATTAAATTTCTGATGTCACAATCTATTAGCTGTCAGACACAGAGAAACTGCATAAAATTAATCAGTGAAATCTAAAAACAAAGGGGCTTGAAGTTATCAGTTGTGTCATTCTGACAATATTGTAATACACAAAGAGGCAAAGAGATATTAAATCCCGATCTCCTGCCTGAGCTATATTGTATATTACATTACATTCCAAGAATAATTTTTGTTCAATGTTAATTTTCATCATTTTCTAATGAATGCTTATTCTTCAATTATTCTTCAACAAACCACAGCTTAACTCAGTTTTATCATTAAGTAGAACCAGGAGCAGTCCATGCCTTTAATGGTCCCTTCAATCATTCCTTTCTGTTGGAAGACAGATTCTGCTATATCTTATTTCCTGCCTGGAATCCCTCAAACTAACTTCATGTAGGGGTGAAAAAAGATTACACTGGCTTTGCTATCTGTTCCTCCTGTGGAAAAACATTCCAAAGAATAGAAACTGCGATTGAGAAAATGTGTTTTCTCAAAGAATAGAGACTGCCATTAAGAAAACAAAGCTTTATTTATGCCCCATGCCGCTCTCAAAGAGGTGGAGATTCAACAACAGGTCATCTCTTGAAGAAAGTTAAGTTGCATTTTAAATTATCCATTTTCATCAGTGTGATCCAAAGTGGACAGCTACTATATATGTCAAAAAGGCATTGATGGGATTGCCTATTTAATCTTCTGCAGAAAGAACAACAGTGTGTTTTTTGGTTCCTTCAGGGCTAAGAACATTCATTATTGCTGCTGCTGTTGTTGTTTTTTTAAAAAAAAGAAATAAAAGAGGAAGACAAAAGAGAATCCGGTTTTAGATTGAAATGTACATTTGTTAATGGATATGTTTTAAGGCATTCCTAGGAAGCAATGCTGTACTTTATATACAAGATACTTTGGTCTGTTGCCCAAATGCTGACATCTGATGAGAATTTCGATATTTCTGGTTTTCCCATATTCTAAAGTTGCTTGAACTTGCACCAGGTAAGACTATCCTTTCAAGAGAAGACTGCCTTCTGGATACAGTATTAATGCTCAGTTTGGGACGCAGTTAAATAGTGACATACTTGAAAAAATATTGAATTGCAAAAAGATAGTTAATTATCTAGGGTAAACATTTTAACTTTACACACATGAATGAATTGTAAGCTGTCCATAGTCACTTCATGGTGAGATGGGTGGCATATAAATTTAATAAATAAAATAAATGCAGGGAGGGAGGGAGGGAGAGAGAGAGAAACTGACTGACTGACTTACTTACTTACTGGAATTATTGCACCAATGGAAATTCTGTCTCCTCAAGCAAAGGGAGGAAGAACTTTCATGGAAAATTTACTTTTTACTTTTTGTTAAGATAGAAATCTCATAAACTACTCTCATTAGTCATGCCTGCTGACTGGAAATATTTGGACAAAATATCACCTTGGCTAATTATGACGGCTTTGAAAAATGAGAATTGTAATCCCACACATCTGCTGACCTGAGTTATGAAAGTTGGACTCATAGCCTCAGTTTTTAAGCATAACAATTTCAAAATTCATGTTTCATTGTGACATTACATATAAGTATGGATAGGACAAAATTTGCTTCCTGGTATTGGAATTCAAGATTCTTTACTTACCTCCTAGAGCTGATGTATGCATTTTCCATAACTACCTTATGAAAGACAATTATTCCATCTCACTGACCCACAACCTAGTCATATAATATCATATATATCCTTATTTATCTCATACATTTTCTCAATGTAATCAGACTAACTCATAGACTGGTTCATCTGTCAAGTAGTTATTTGCTTTCGTGACTCTTGTTCTTTTTTGACACAACTAATATTAAAATCTCATGGGCAAATATTTTGTTGCCTGCTGCAGATGTTAACAATTGGGGCAGTATCCTTGTGATTATTATCCATGTGGTGGTGACAGGGAAGAAGCAAGAGACAACAAAATGTAAAAAATGAATAAATAAACATAATGTGATACTCTTTAATTGGCAAAAACTTTTTGGCGGGCAAAAAAAAACATCAAGATCCAATTTTTGCTTAGAGTATTTGAAAACACAAAGAGTGGTTTTAAATGATGGTTTATTCCACAGTGTGTTGACATATCCAAGCAACTGTATTTTTTTCAATAAATAATTGATGTGTGAATCCAGTCGGAATATCCCTAGCTAGTTTCAAAATAGGCCAAACAACAGAATTACCATTAATGAAGAACTGGCTAGCAATAAGATGGATTTTAGGATCAACCATTAATCACATCTAATAAATCTCTTGGAAACTTTTTCATAATTATCCATGACTTGTCTAAACTTGCTTCTTCCAGTTACAAATCTGTAGTGATATATAGATCTGGCAAGATGCTTGCAAATATCAGTCATTCCCCTGGCACATTTGCTGATATTCCATGGCTCAAAGCCAATCTCCATTTGAAGCATGTTTTTTCCAATCTGACAATGCAATACTGTAACTTCTTTCTGAGGCTACAGGGACTACTTTTCCCATCACATAGAGAAGCTATTGGATCCAAACCAGTTCCTAAGAAAGAAAGTCTGAGCTTAAGTTTCTAGTCTCAGGAACCAGCACTTCCATCTTTTGTTTTGGCTGCCAGGAACACGTATGTGCAATTCAATCTTCACTCTTGTTATTAAAAAAATATTGCTTGGCTGGCATATACAGCTCTTGATTAAGAGGAAAACTCCCTAAATTTTGTCTGTCTCTCTATCTATGCAAAGTGCAATTGCAAGTACATCCATAAATAAGATAATTTATTGTCACAAGGGAAAACATTTTAAAAAAATCCCTGTCTAATATTAGCATTAATATCAGAGTTTAATGTATAAATAATTTAAAATGGGGCATGGGGTATAGATATCTCAGAATCAGAAAGTTGCAAAGTTCCTGATGAATTTTTTAAAGAGGAAAGAAAATTATTCAACACAGGCTCAAAGTCAAGTTTAAATAAAATTTCTCAAAGGTTGAGAAATTCAGCTGAGTAATCTGCATATCTAATTCACTATTATTTTTAGGCCAGCCTGCCTAGGATTGAAGCCCTATACTTTTTTATATATCCAAAGAACTTTTTATTCCAATTAGTGCAAGAATTGGCCTCTCAAAACTTTGGGATCAGCTTTGCATGTGCCTTTTATTCCTTCTATCAGCAGAGTCCATCTGTATGAACTTCTCAATTTAGATATGAGAATAACTAAGAAGTATGAATTCTGGATAAGGAGTAATGCTAGTTTATCCTTGTGGGAAAATGCAAGAATGTTTGATGCCATAGGACCTTTAAAAAAAAGGCCATCCAAACTTCAAAATACAATACAAATCGGAGCCTCCCCATTAACATACTGTAGTGCATGTTCTGTGCATGCATACATACCTATCCAATCTTCCTCCTTGTTTTGCATCAAAGATATAAAATCTATAGAAAAACTTCACAATGCTTTTTCAGCAGCTCCACATTTTACATTTTTATGTTGTACATCTAACGATAAAATCTCTTGGAAGATATAGCAAAACCCGTGGTGTGTTATTCTCTGTGTTTATATGTGAATGAGGATTTGGGGGTGCTTGTTTGTGGGGGATATAAAGGGGGATTAGGATTAGGGTTTAGGAATGACTGGTCCTCCTAGTGACACAGCAGGATTACAGGCCGTGTAGACCAACATCAAATCTAGGCAGCCTCCTTGACACACCTTGTTCTTAAATGGCATCTGGGGGAGTTATAAATGAAATGAAAGGCAGTTAAGAAAAGTGCAGTGATGGGAGAAAAATAGCAAGGGGAAATCTTTAACGTATTTGTGGAGAACATGACACAGAGATAGAGCATGTGTAGAGAGGGGCTGTTAGCCACTGTTCAGCTGTGCCAATAGTACATGTTGGCAAAAATCAGCTTTTTTCAAGGTTCCATGAGTCCTTTCCTTTCAGTCTAGGATCTGGACAAGGTTCTTCCTTCACTTATCCATGGAGGAAATATTTAATGTATCGCTAACAAGGAGAATGTAGAAGAGAAAATCAAAAAGCATGAGAAACCTAAATGGATCCCACTCTCTTATATTTTACTCTCCCTTTAGTTTTTAAAATATAACTTTGCGCACACATTCGCTGCACTGCATCAACTCCAATGTATCATTCTCCTATGCCTTGGAGACAAATGATAGAGAGGAAGTGCAAGGAACAAGAAGGTGGGATGGTCAGTGATGGACTGTCAGCCTGACCATTTTCAGTCTTTGAAGGGGGGCTTCTTTGCTCAGGACATCCTTAGAGAGCTGAGTAAAAGCGGCCATAAGTGAACCCTATGGGAAGGAATGGCAGGATGGACGTGTTCAATTAACTAATCCCTAAATATTTTGCTTGGAACAGAGAGAACTGAGTGAAATAAGATCTTCTGACGAAGGAACTTGCTTTTCTATTTTGAACACTGCACTTCAATCATTTACCCATGGCTTTTTAACTAATGAAGGAAGGAGTTGAGAAGCCTCTATTCCCCCACTCTGATTTTGTACAAATGTTTAAAGAAATATAACCAACATGAAAGGGCTCCAGTATCAAAAGAAAAATAAGCCAGGCTCTCCTGGATGAAATATTTTATTTTGCTGGCTGTGGAAGTACACATACATACAGCCCGCCTGAGTTGGAACTGTTACATTTCAAAGTAAGGAGATTATTCCACTAAGCCTCTCCCATCAGGGTGTGGCTTGGCAGGCTATGCTTTGGGTAATGCAACAGAGCACACCCTCTGAGGACTATAAATGGAGCCAGGCAACACTGCAGATGCTAGCTTCTTCACTCTAAACCAAGCCGAGTAACAGTCTTGCATCGGAGCTTTCTTTCACGATGTCATACTATTATCAAAGCTCCTCTTCTGCTTATGGTGGTGGTGGCGGTGGAGGTTCTGGCCGTGTTGCTTCTGTCCGCCTTGGACCATCCAGTATCCATGGGGGAGCTGGTGGCCGTGTATCTGCCTCTTCAGCTAGGTTTGTATCTTCTGGTTCAGGATATGGAGGCGGTTATGGATATGGAAGTGGTTTAGGAGGTGGTTGTGGTATTGGATATGGTTCTGGAGGAAGTTCTGGATATGGTTCTGGAGGCTACGGAAGTTGCTTTGGTGGTGGAGTTGGTGGAGGCTATGGTGGTGGTCTTGACTTTGCAGTTTGTGGTGGTGGTGGTGGTGGTGATGGAGGCCTTCTGACTGGAAATGAGAAGATCACCATGCAAAATCTCAATGACCGCTTGGCAAATTACTTGGATAAGGTGCGAGCCCTAGAGGAGGCTAACACTGAGTTAGAGATCAAGATCCGAGACTGGCATCAAAAGCAGGCACCCTCTAGCCCAGCCAGAGATTACAGCCATTATTACAAGACAATTTCGGAACTCCGTGACAAGGTAGGATCCTGAACAAGGAACCTCATATTTTGGATGATAACTCTTATGCTTTCAGGTTGTGGATTTTTTAAAAATTAGATCAAGACAAAGATCTTTGTATGTGCATGTGTACACACACACATAGACACACACATATATTGTATTGCTTTTCTGTAATTTTATTAGGCTGTTAAAATAATACATATTAAGAAAAAACAATGATATTTATATCATTACTATTTGTTGTTTGGTAGCAATTCAGATTTGCACCAATTTCCCATTTCTCCCAAATGTCAATGATTGATGCTACTTCTTACACCATTCAAGGCAAAGAAATTAAGTTCTTGTCTTCTCTGTTTTGCCACTAAAATTTCACTAAAATAAGTGCAACCCGCCCTGATGTAAAAAGTTTGCACTTTGTTATTTAGCTCTTTGCAGTGTGAAGAAATAGCTAAACCTGTTATCATTCATCTTCAATCACTATTTCTATGATGTGTTCTTTCCATTTAAAAAAGAGAACTGGGAAATATTGGGTATAATGAATCTACTAGAAACAAATATGAATATTCCTATTTTTGACTGACTTCCTTAGAATCAAAATGCTAAGAATTTGGGAAGAATTCTGGGAGTTGAAGTCCAGATAGCTTAAGGTTGCCAAGTTTAAGAAACACTGATCTAAAGGATAGAAACCTCAAATCTTTTTTACATCACTCTGTTATAGTAGGGTAGCTGAAGCATGAAATGCTAATATGTAGTTCACACAATTTATCTTATTTTAGGCTATGCTGTCAAGTAATCATAGCATAATACATGTCAAGGTTACCTAAAGGACTGCTTAAGTTCTTACCAAGAGCAGAATCCTATCCAATATGTATATCTGGATGACTGGAAGTGATACTAAGGAATTATTCCAGTCAGTTCCTCAGCACCACCTAAATTATTCCAGTGATGCTTTTCTATTCTTTTATTTTTATTTTAATATTTACAATTGACTTGTTGCTTACATAAGTATATTAGCACAGTATAAAGAACTCCTCTTAGTTTTATGTCAAGAAAAATTAGACAATTGTTATAAAAGACTTCATATAGTAATGATGAGAGCAAGGGAAAGACAGCTTCCACTGGCTGACTGAATATGATTTCTGGGCAAATCTATAATGCATTGCAGATTATACCATCCTAAAACTTTCAGTTATCCATGAAGACTGACTGATATTCCTTGGAAAAATCCAAGATACTCCAAATCATGAAACTGGCAGCATAAAAAGCCTAAAACTAAACTTTATTGACACAGGTTATAATAACAGCATCTTGCAAGTCTGCTGATCTTTTATGTTCCCTCTCTCTTATAACCCATGGAATCATGATTTAATACTTGTTTCAACACCTTTTGCTGTCATAACAGGTTCTGAATATCTTCTCCAAAGTCATCTAGATGCCTCCTACACTAAACAATTAAAGGAGAAAGTGCATACAAATTGCCCTCCACATGTTTTAAAGACTAAGCCAAAGCATCTTCAATGACTAAATTTTTTTCTCTATATTCATGTTTCGTCCCCTGTCTTCTCTCTTCTTTGGTAGATTCATGATGCTACAATTGACAATTCTAGGATTATTTTGGAGATTGATAATGCTAGACTGGCTGCTGATGACTTCAGACTGAAGTGAGTTTTTTCACAGTTTGTTTTTCTATTTCCCAAGGAATCATTCTGAGCTAAAGAAAGGAAGAAAAAGATAATGGAAATTTTCAGATAAAAGTGAACCAGAGCCCCATTAAAATGTACATACAAGTCTATGTCTCCATTAGTTAGCCCTATCCAAGGCTGGAATAAATACTAGTAGGTTGGTGGCCTTGAGCAAACAATGGTAGATAAGCAGAAAATGAGAGAAAAATCTTGGTCATTGTTACTTGTATGAAAAAGCACAGCAATAGCAACAAAGAAAAATGATAAGATGGAACCGGCTAGTTAAGCATGCAGGGGCCCTTGAAAAGAACATTGGCCCTCAAACCTAAGATATGTAGTATTTAATGAGCTTAAAACATAAACAGAATAAAGTAAGATAGCTTCTCATCCATTGTCAAAAATAAAGGGGAAAGAGTACAGATAGAAATGCTAATCTGCATATAGCATGCACATGCTGCGTTATATGTATGATGCAAATTTAATAACTTAAATGGTAGTTGAAACTATTTCATCTTAATGGGTCAGATGGGAGGTGATTTGTATGTCTGCTAAGTATGTTATCCAAATTCTAACTGCTCATCAGCAGTTCCACAACCTTAAAAATGGAGTCACGCTGGGTAGGCCCTTAAATATAATACTGTCTTTTGTAAAGTGGGTATGTGACCTCCTTAAAGAAGAAAAAAACATTCTAGTGAAGAAATGGAGAAAAAATGGAAAAATGTTTCAGATGTTGTATCTTTCAATACATAGGGATAGCAAAACTTATGAAAGACTATTTAGTTACAAGGTGTTTTGTTCCTATTTGGAGTTCTTGAACTTTTTTCCTGGTATATTTTCAGGTATGAGAATGAACTGCATCTCCGCCAGGGTGTTGAGAGTGACATCAATGGTCTGCGCAGAGTCCTGGATGAACTAACTCTGTTTAAATCTGACATGGAAATGCAAATCGAAGAGAAGAAGGAAGATTTGGCCTACCTCAAGAAGAACCATGAGGAGGTGGGTAACTAGGAAAAGGAAAATGGAGAAGTCAATGGCAGATACATTGAGAAGACAGTATAAAATATCCATCCCCATCCATAGGTAGATTCTTATTTTTTTATGAGTTCTATAAAAGTTGATCAGCAGATAGTGGATGGCTGCATTTAAAAAAAACTGGATGGGCCAAGACAAAAATATGGATAGGAACTAAAGCGGAAATGAAATCTGACTGATATTTTCAAATTATTAATTCAACACAGCCAGTAAGATAACAATTTTGGAAGAATTCTAGGCTGACATTCTAGAGGAGGCCACACATTGCACTGGGCTAAAGATTAGTCATCTTTACATAAATAGAGGTTGTACCTCTTTCAAATGGTACTAGGTTCCATCTTATAGTAAGATGGTACCTATGTGGATTGCTGGAAGGGGCTGCTGGAAACCAGCATCTAGATAAATGTACACCCTGCCTGTAATTTCTCTCCAAAAGAAATTCTCTTCCCAAGGAAAGATTGAGGCAGAGAGAATTGAATATTATTATTTTCTTTTTGTAGAGCTGGAAGTAGGAAACCAGCTCTTGTTGGCCTTTTGAAATGCCAGTTGGCTTTTAAGTCTAACAAAAACATATAGAACTACAACCAATACTGTTACTCATCAGAAGATTATTCTAAGCATTAAAACCTTCGGGGACACAACTGCTGCTTGCAGATAACAGAAAAGAGGTACTATGTGGAGAGAAAACTAATTGCCTGTCTTTTTTGCCTCCCAAAGTTAATGAAAGAATATGGTACTCAGCTAACTGGAAAGGTCAATGTTGAGATGGATGCTGCACCTGGAGTTGATCTCACCAAAATTTTGTCTGACATGCGAGAACAATATGAACAAATGGCTGAGAGGAACCGCAGAGATGCTGAAGCCTGGTTCTTTACCAAGGTACACTGCCCTTCCAGAAATTGTCTGTCTTTCCACAAGATCCTGGGATTTTCATTCAAAAGGTTCTTCATGCTGCTAATAAAAAAAATACAGAACATTCTTTCCTCTCCTTTTTCCTGCAAAAAAAAAAAGTAGAAGTAATAGGAAAATTCAGGATATCCCCTTCAATATAGTATTCCAGATATGTGTTGGTTACAGCTTCAATGTAACATGTAACAGATGAAATTATTTCTATATCCCTGTACAAACATGTTTCAGATTGTACTGTAAGTCTATGAATGTTCCTAATTATGTATATCTGATCTACCAGGGATTAATTAGGCATATACTAGTCAAAGCCTTGCAATATTACTCAGCATATTTTATTTGTTTTTAATTCTTCCTGCACCCAGACCGAAGAACTGAATCGTGAAGTTGCTACCCACACTGAACAACTACAGACCAGCAAGACTGAGATTTCAGAATTAAGGCGTACAGTACAGAGTTTGGAGATTGAGCTACAATCACAGCTTAGCATGGTATGTTGCTTTCCTCAAATTTTAAATGGGAATAAATCAGATTAAGAAGTATTTTTATAGCTTGTAGCTTTTCTTTTCAAACAATGTAAAAAAAAAATCAGCTATCCACTGAAAGTCACAATTCTCTGAATTTTACAATGCAAAATTTAAAATGGTGCATATCAAAGAAATACTTACATTCCAGAAATAATGTAACAAATAATGTTAGGATAAATATGCTAAAATTGCATACACATTTTACTCTGAATTTTAAAAGCAAACATCTCAACTGAGTATAGAAATGGGATGATCCTAATGGAAAAACAGGAAACTGAAATTTAGTAGGTTTAGAAAAATGAGAAAATGTGGGACAGTGAAATTGCAAGATTTATCATCCTTCAATGGGTAAAGATATCTGTCTAATTAAAAATAAACTAGCTTTCCAGGTTAGATGGAAATAATTGTAACATTACAAGATACAATAGTATTATCTGTCCCCATTTCATAATGCCATTTCATAATGCTACCAGTAAGTATTGTCCAAGTTCTTAGAGCTGGAATCCAGCTGCTTTATGATGGAGATCAGGTTCTGCAATTCAGTGTTGGTAGCTGTTCAGATTGCTAGATCCTCTTATTTTTCTCTCTTATTAGAAAGCTGGCTTGGAAACCAGTTTAGCAGAGACAGAAGGACGGTATTGTGCTCAGCTAGCACAAATCCAAGCCCTGATCTCCAGTGTAGAAGAACAGCTGGCTGATTTAAGGAATGACATGGAGCGCCAGAATCACGAATACAGGATGCTCATGGATATCAAAACACGGCTGGAACAGGAGATCAGCACTTACCGAAACCTCTTGGAGGGTCAAGACTCAAAGTATGTAATTGATTCACAATGAAAACAACTTGGTAATGTAAAAAGATTTCTTGAATTTAGTGAGGTTTTCAATTGCTCATCTTGGTGAGTGAAATTATGAGTTCTAGTTTTGTCTTAAGCACAAGGCCACCTGGGAAACCCTGGATCATTCCATGAATCTCACTTCTAGGAAAAAGGGAAGAGAAAATCAATTCTGAAAATGTTAGCAAGAAACAGTCCAGGCAGTCACCAGGAGTCAACACAAATTTGTTGACAATCTGACAATCTAAAAAGAAACCTTCTCCATTTGCCATGCTGTTTAGAATGTCGGAAAGATTAGCAGGTTACAAAGTTAGCAATCTCAGCAACCCTTCACAGCTTATTACTAAGGCCGGAAGTTCCTATGTGACCAGAAGTCTTTGCTCAAGACCAGGTTGAGGCCAACTGATGCCCTAGACCCACCGCAATAATAATGCTCCTCAACCTTCCTGTTGCTTAATTGACAGGACATTAAAACTCAATAAAACTAAGACTGAAAACCAGTTCAGTTTTATGTTAAATGTGGCTGTCAAAATATTACTGGCAAAATAGTTGGGGGAGGAGGGGAATCTATGCTGTCCCCCTTCCCTTGGTGCTCTAAGCACATACTTATTTTGTTCAATGGCTAATCCAGGACTGCCTTTGTCCTACCCCATCACAACTTTTTTTTTTCTTTTACAGATTCCCAGGCTGGTCTCCAAAAGATGGTAAGAAAAACTTCAGTTAAAGTCAGAAATATTTGGGTGATAGAAAGATTCAAAGGAGTGCTTCACAATTACTATAGTCTGGGTGAAACTTTACTTGGAAGTTGCATTGCAACTACTTGGCAACTTCTGTGCAGAAGCCTATTCTAATTACTTTGGATCTGGGATGAAGGTCACAACAATGCAAAACTCCTTGTCAAGTAAAATTGTGTTGCCTCCTGGCTGATGTATTGTGAAATACTCGGGGCTCTCACTGAAATCAGAGAAATGTGTCAAGGTTTAGATTATACTCATTGACAACCTTACATCTCATTGATTCCAAGTAGTTTTTCATACTTAGAAGACAAATAACATGGTAAAAATCATCCATAGATTACTATGACTTTATTCATACAACATTGTAAACCTAATCAGGCAGAGTTAGCAGTTGCATTTGCACAGTGCTAAGTTTGGTTGGTATTCAAGCTTGGTTAAAGGAATATGCACAATTCAGGGTAAACACACACAAACACAGGATTATACCATTGGACTATTAGCTATCAGTTAGAAATTATTCTTTCTGAACTGAAACACCCTGATTAGGGAATGAGAAACACCTCAAAGACTGAATGAGAATGGCCATGGGCAACTTTCATTGCAATATGCGAGTGATAGCGGCATTCTAGTATTTATTTACATCAACTTTCTGTCTTTACAACAGCATCCTATGGAGGAGGCAACATAATCACCTACAGTAGTGGCGGCAGCGGCAGCGGCAGCGGCAGCGGTGGTGGTGGTGGTGTCGTCAGTGGTAGCGGCTACGGCAGTGGTGGCAGTAGCGTCACTACCGGCAAAGTGCGTTCTGGAAACTTCTGAATCTCCTGAAAAGTGCACTCCTTCCTTAAAGACCAAGCAGTTTCAGCACCGCCACAAAATCCTTCTTTTTGCATAAGTATGCCTCGGCTTGGCTACTTTCTTCACAGTGATCCCTTTCCAGCTTTGCCTGACTCATCTTAGCTAATTCTCACTCTGTATTGCTCATCATAATAAAAATCCTCTTTGGGCTTGATTTTGCAAGTAAAACATGGCTTGGCCTCTTTCTTGTTTGCTCCACAGTTGTTTACCACTCTTCAGAGTTTGACATAGGCATGTTTGTTGAATAGAAACTGGCTCTGAAAAAATAGCAAGCACGCAAACAAACAAACAAACAAAAAAAGCACTGGAAAGAACTTCCCTTTAGGGAAGCTATGATCTTCAAAACTGTGCTCATTGCTTCAGTTTTCACATTCAAAATTTTTAATTTTGTTTAAAAGGTATCTGAAGAAATATTCACCAAATCCAAATGGATAAGGTGAATGTTGTGCTTTCTTTTCCTAGAATATACAAAGAGCTAAGAAAGTTATTGCAGTTTTGTTTTAACTCCTTACATCCCTAGTGCATTCTGGAGTGACCATGTGATTACACCACATTGGTTATCATCTGCTTATTCAGGAAACTCTAGAGAAATTAATGTTTCTGCAAGAAGTCATCTAGAAAGGCACTATGCTCTTTAAAGGTTAAACAATTTTGGTGAAAGATATCTAGTCCGTTACAAGCATTTAAAAAAAAAATCCCACCTCTGTGATTTTGTTATTGTTGAATACTAATCAAATACTATTGTTGATTAGTATTCATCCCACAATTGGTTCTTTGGGGTGGGTGTGGGGAGATAGTATTCTGAAACCTGCTTCAAGAGACATTTGAGGCAAAACTCTTTTTGTTCCTTACATCCATTCAGAGTCTGAAGCAGAGGTGGTATTCAGCAGGTTCTGACCAGTTCTGGAGAAACGGTAGCAGAAATTTTGAGTGGTTCAGAGAACCAGCAAACATCTGCTCTGACTGGAGATTTTACAGTATGCTTCCCCTGCCACGCCCACCAAGCCATGCCCACAGAACCGGTAGTAAAAAAAAAATTGAATCCCACCACTGGTCTAAACCCAGAGAAATACAAGGCAATAACTGTGTGAGCACATTAAAACATTTTCAACAGTTGATCTGGCTTTCTCTGCATTTTCTTCTTATAGCTGGGATATTTTTCATAAATGGTTCCTTTAAAAGGTGTAAATGGAAAGTAGAAATTCTAGAATAAAAGAACCCCAAAAGTCAACTATCATTGTAAAAACATGGGCGGGTGAATAGTCTTATTTGTTTTGTAGAATGAAATAGAAAGCAGCACAAGGCATTAAAACATTGTCAGAAAATAAATATTGTTGAAAAAAGATTAATGAACTTTTAAATAGATGGGTACAGAAGAAAGCAATTCCCAATTTGCCCTGAATCTTTCACGATTCATTTTTTTCCTTCCTTGATTCAACAGATTTTGTCTGAGATATCTGTGACCACTTAGGGTCTCTTTTTCTAGCTTACAACCCTTCATTTCAAAGCTACATGGTTGCTCTGGGGTATATGGGGGTGCATACCTAGCACCCATCCACAGCTAGGTAATACATTACAACATAATGCAACATGTCATGAATTATTTCTTCTGATATCATTTGACTGATACTATAGTATCCCTCAATAAGGGCCATCTCTGAGTATATGCCCAGCTTTTCAAGTGAAGGCATCAACATTGGGATCTTCATCCTTGTTGAAGGTGCTGAGAATCCTGGTAAGGATGACCTAATGGGTCACAGGTTGACTCAGAGATATTTAAAATTAAGTTTAAAATTAAGCAAAGATCAAAGTCTATGTTTATTTGTTCAGAATGTTTCCTCCTATACATTGGCCCTTTGCAATCTTGGTGGGGAGGAGGGAAGGCAGTACTGTGGATGCTCCTAAATAAAGCACTGCGATGTCATCACCCATCCTGTATTCTGCTCCTGTAGGCCACAGAAGCATTCATGGAAATAAAGATGAGAGAGACTGGCATTCTGCTTTGCAGCCTACCAGATTTATAATACATTTTTACTTTCAGGATTTATTTTTGGCATTCACATTGAGTGGTAGACACCTTGGTGGATGTCTGTAAAACTGGCTGCTGATCCCTGTCTTAAAGGCAGATAAATTTTAGTAGGAATGTAGAACACTATGAAGACCTCTGTTCTGATGAAACTTTGGTGGTGGGGGGAAACTGGGAATATCAATAGCTGGATTTCTTTTTTATACGAAGCCTCTCATTATGCAAATTTTATTGATACAGTTGTGATCTCATACAATCTCAAAACAAGCAATTTGTTAGGCTACCTTTACAGTTTGAGAACAAAGTGAGAATGTTTCCTATACATTGTATCCAAATCTTTACCTCTAGAAATTGTTTTGAATTGTTTGTGCCTGTTGTGGTATGAAAGAGAGAAAAGTTCTATGGATTGAAAGATTCTTCACAGGTAATATTTATCGTCAAATACATAGATTATTATAGATAGTTTCTTCACCATTGAAAAATATTGACCCAGATTCTTAAGAGTCTGTAATGAATATTCTGATATCTATTTATCCATCCTTCCACCCACCCACCCAACCATCCTAGATTGCATAATAACATATTATAAAGATAACCAAAACCCATTGATATTTATTTTCAAACCTGGCATTCTCTTGATATTTCAATCTATAATTTCTATAATCCCCACTAGAGTATTCAACTTGACGCCTTCTACAAATAAATGGGAAGATCAAGAAGCAGGAAATTTACAAATCAGGTCTTACAGTGATCATAATTTACTGAGGGTGGAATAGTTCCTGTACTGGGATGGGCAAAATCTTTTGGCTGAGAAACATTTTCTTTTTTTTCCCTTTTTTTTGAGGTCAAAGAAGGCATGCCTGGAATGCAATGACATTTCCAGATTGGCAGTGCCTCAACTTTTCAGCATATCTGCAATCTGAAGGGATGTTAGAAACATGGTTTTAGTTAAATGTTGTCTAATCCTGTCCTATGTAGTTCAGTGATGTTCCATTGTAGGTTTCCCCACCCAAGAAAATTATGAAATTTAATGTACATGTCAAAATATAAAAAAGGTTTTCTATATGTTGCATATTCAATATTGTGTATACAAGAGGAATACATGTCTTAAACCAATATACACATTTCTGCATAACTACCGTATATACTCGAGTATAAGTTGACCCGAATATAAGCCGAGGCACCTAATTTTATACAAAAAAACTGGGAAAACTTATTGACTCGAGTATAAGCCGAGGGTGGGAAATGCAGCAGCTACTGGTAAATTTCAAAAATAAAAATAATTAATTTGGGAAACGATCTCACTATCTCACGTCGCCTCGGGAAGGGAAAGGCAAAGCGCTTTTTGCCTTTCCCTTCCCGGCTGGGGCTGTTGGGAGTCGCTGCCGCCTGCCTTTCCCTTCCCGGCTGGGGCTGTTGGGAGTCGCTGCCGCCGGAGCGGCCCCAGTCCCGCGTAGCCTCGGGAAGAGAAAGGCCACGGCTTGGAAGGCCGCCGCTGGAGCGAAGCTGTGCGCAGCCGCTGTGTTAGCATCGGATCGGGCGTGCCGGACGGTTCCGACCGAGCCCCGAGCGTCGTCTTTGGTGCCCGCCCAGCACCGCGGAGCTCCCTGTACCGGGAGAAGGGGAAGACCCCCCCCGGGGCGGGGCAGGGAGAGGAGCTTCTCCCGCCCGCCCCTCTTTCCGCGCCCACCGGTGTCCCCGCAGGACGACCCCCACCCCGCAGTAGCCGCCGCTTGAAAGAGATGGGCCGGGGGTGGGTAGAAAGGCGCCGGGCGCCCTTGGAGGAGAAGGTCCCGCGTTCGCCTGTCTGCCCGCGGATGTCAGCGGAGCTTTGCCGCTGCTTCGTCCAGGGTCTCTGGGCAAACACGTCCACCCGAGCGGGGCTTGTTGCCTCCGGCACGTAACGAGCGCTGCCCTCGGATTCCCTGTCCGGTTGCCCCCCTTTTGAGGGCGATGCCAGTAAACTGTTCCCGTAGCAGCGGCTGCTCCGCTGACATCCGCGGGCAGACAGGCGAACGCGGGACCTTCTCCTCCAAGGG